ACCTGCGTCCGGTGGTCGACCTATTCTCCATGAGGAGGTGACCACATTGACAACACTGGCCTGGGGCTCCTGCTCCTGCACCCAGACATACTGTGTGAGGAGACTGGGGCCTGGCAGACAGCACGGGGGACAACACAAGGTCCACTAGGTGCCCTCCCCCCTCTCCTATTTGGACACCAGCATCTCCAAAGACAGGCTGGGCCTGACAGCTGTCATGGTGGCCAAGTGGGCAACTCCCACTACAGGGGAGATAGATTTATCTCCTAGATTAAATCTGCCTAAAACAGGTAGATTTGTTCCCCAGGAAGCAGGGGAATCAGGTCTGCATCCTGGACTCTGTTCACTGAGGTTCTCTGTGTGCAGGCCATGTCCAGGAGATCGACGAGGTGACAGGGCAGGGCCGGCCTCCTGAAATGGCTGACCAGGCCCGCATGCCCTACACCACTGCTGTCATCCACGAGGTGCAGCACTTTCGGGACCTAGTGCCACTGAGTGTGCCTCACATGACGTCCTGTGACACTGAAGTACAAGGCTTCCTCATCCCCCTGTCCCCTGCTCCGCTCCACCTGCCTCCTAGTAAACCTGGCATGATCTTTGCCAGTGGATCCCCAACAGGCACTGGGCTTCCCATCCAACATTCCCTTAGTCCCATCTAACGTGCTCATTCCAGAGAGTGTGGTGAGCACAACGGAGAGGAAGTCAGTCCTGTCCAGAGCCCCAGTCTGCTGGAAGACGAAACACGTGCCACTGAGTGCTGGATGAGCCAGGGGGCAGTGAGGGTGTCCACGGCAGATGTGCTACCCAGCTGTGCCCTGGGGACCAGGAAGGTCTCAGCAACTTCTTGTTTTGAGCCCCCACACTGGGCATCACTTGGACAGGGGACAACGATCATCACCAACCTGTCATCAGTGCTGAAGGATGAGACCGTCTGGAAGAAGCCCTTCCGCTTCCACCCAGAACACTTCCTGGACGACCAAGGCCACTTCGTGAAGCAGGAGGCCTTCATGCCGTTCTCAGCAGGTGCCTGGGGGTGTCGGGATCCTCCCATCCTCCCTAAGTGGTGTCTCAGGTGAATACGATTCCAGGCTCACTGAGCCCCCCATGTTCACCCATGGGTCGTCGCGCCTGCCTCGGGGAGCCCCTGGCTCGCATGGAGCTCTTCCTCTTCTTCACCAGCCTCCTGCAGCATTTCAGCTTCTCCGTGCCCCCCGGACAGCCCTGGCCCAGTGACCACGCCATCTATAACTTCATGTACACTCCAGCCCCCTACCAGCTGTGTGCTGTGCCCCGCTAGAGACTCCAGGCCCCAAATTACTCAGCTTCACTCTGACCCGTAAACCATTCTGGGGGACCCCCCTGTGTGACTGAGTCCTTTCTGCATCTTTGACCTTTTACCCTAAAAGTTAGGGAACAACTAGATGGGACAGGAAATGGGGTGTGTGGATTCAAAGCCATGTTTAGGACTCTGGGAGCCAGAGAGTTCCTTGCAAAGAATCAATGACAGCTCTGTGTGAGCCACCCCCGGGAACCTCCATGTCCCCTAGATAGGACCCCATTCCAACACATTTAAAAAAAAAAGTTCCTGTTGGGCTAGGTAAAACTTAAAGTCACAACTAGGCTCAAAGAATGTGAAATGTCTTCAAAATTCCTCAGTAAAATTGTTTCTGCTCTTGAATCTTGCAAAACCCTTAGTCAAATAGTAATACAGACTTTTTCAGATATGTTGCATCTAGGCCCCAGAGCTCTTATTAGATAAAGTCAGCTCAGCTTCTGCTCACAGCAACTCCATCGCGCAGCATCCATACACCAATTCTGCCCTGTCCTCCCCTGTGTCCTGTACTTGAGCCCAGTGTCCTCCCAGTGTGTAAAAGGAGTGAGCAAAGCATGGGCCAGTGTTAGTGACCTCCACTTACTCCACTAGGGGAAACTGTCCACATAGTACACATAATACAAAATACATAACAAATAACAGACCCACAATACAAAAGCAACCTGAAGTCAGACCCTTCTTACCATGCTCTCACACCCGCTTCACCAATTCCAACACCAATCCTACACCTCTCCTGGTCCCAAATGGAATGCAATAGCTAAACAGATGGCACGATCATACTGAAGATTATGGAGTTAGGGAAGTGGTTGCTAGGTTCTGTCAAGTGGACCTTACGAACAACAAATCTGAACTCTGCCCCATACTGTGCCATCCTCATTATCTCTGATAGACTCCAGCCCATTACTACAATCACTGTGTCAACCCATCTGTTGGGGGTCTCTGACGCCCCACCTTTCCAAACATGCTGTCTTTTTCCACACTGTCACCTCCTCACAACATACCCAAAGCATGTGAAATGACATTTTACCATCCTTGCCTCTAAGAAGCATGCTGATTACACTTAGTCCAAGACATACTTGTTTGCTCTTTTGGCAGTACATACTGTGGGATATATTCTGTACTCTTCCCCAGCATTACAACTCAAAGGCATCAGTTCTTCTGTCATCTTTATTCTTTGTCCAATTTCCAGATGCATAGAAAGTAAATGAAAAGACTATGTCTTGAGTCAGGTGCACCTTAGTCTTTACACTGACACTATTGCTCCTCAGCACCTTGGAGAAGTCTTTGACAGCAGACTTTCCCCAGTGGAACATATCTTTTGATTTCTTGACTGCTGATACCAAGGTTGTTGATGATGGATTCAAATAAAATTATTTCAGCTTCCTTATTTTCATAATTGACACTCCTGGTACTAACATTCAAGAAATCAAAAAGTGTGTTGCACTGGGGAAAATCTTCTGCCATTAAGGTAGTTAACAGGCTACCATTTAGATTGTCAGCAGGATACAATTGCTGAGTGAGAGCACCTTCTAAATCTTGCTCAAGGGGCCTGTGTCTTCAGCATTGCTACTTTAGATCATTGTTACAGAGCACTCAATCCTACCAATTATGATGTTTCCACCTCATCCTCCAGCAAGCTTGGGCAAAAGGTCTATGGGGCAGCAGTCCCAGGTCAGCTCTGCCGAGTGTCAGGTTCTCTGCTGTGAAAGCTGGTGCTCTCCTGTAGATCCGACTGGTGCGGGGATTTCTGCCCCCTAGGGATGTGAGCCGCTTTCTCTGCTACTTCTACTTTGCTGGTAATGAGATTTCCAAATTACCCTGCTGAACCTGCCCAATTCAAACCTGGCAGAATGGTGACACCGGCCTGCCCTTTATGGATAGACTCTCTTTACATATTCCTGTCCAGCCATGTGGCAAAATCACAGGCAATGACCTAGGAAAGGCATTTTGAATAACAGAACCCCAACAGCACACATCTCAGTGATGGTCTTCATCACTCTGTTGCCTCTTTGCTTTATGATCTCTTTCTTCAGAGACTATCTCATTCTGAAAACTTGTTAAAGGACGTGTGACAAAGTCTTTCCATTCTCAATTTTAAGAAGCATTCTGATTTTAGGAAATCAATAGTCGTTATAGTAAACAATCTCAACTCAAAACTCATTGCTGTCCAGTCAGTACCAAGTCATAGCTGACCTTGCAGTGGATTTCTGAGGGAGCAAACTACTCATGAGGAAAGTGTCCATCTTTCTGCCCAACAGGCGAAGGTGGACAGTCCGCCACATTCTTGCCACAGACCACCAGCGCCTGTCCCACAGGCTCCAGCCAGTTGATCACAACCACAGGAACCCAGGCCAGCTGCAGGCTGAACACGTCCCTGGAGTGGCACTCCAGCTGCAGGCCCTCGACCTGGCGATGATCAAGCAATGGCCCTGGAGCTGTGGGCCCCATTGTAACTTGTTGAACTTACCTGACCACTAGGCCAACAACATCAAATCAAAGGTGAAATCTGACCTCATGACCCCAGTGTCCCAACCTTCTCTAGGTTCACAACGTCACCAGCCGCTCAAAGTACAACTGTTTGTTGATGGGCACTTAGGTTGTTTCCGACTCCTTGCTATTGTGAACAAAGATAAACATGGGTGTGCATATATCTGCCTGGATGTCAGTTATGGGGTATATTCCCAGTAGTCGAATTGCTGGGTCAAATGGTATCTCTATTTGTAACTTTTTGAGAAAGTGCCATACCACCTTCCACAGTGGTTGCACCATTTTACACTCCCACCAACAGTGAATAAGGGTTCCAGTCTCTCCACAACCTTGCCAGCATTTGTTGCTTGCTCAATTGAAATTCTTAAAGACTACCCATCCTTTGTTTTCCATGTTAGGGAAAATGTTAAAATTGTGTGGCAAAGAAGATCTCCATAAAATCCAAGAGAACTACTAGAGAAGTCAAAGAGTAGAGGAGCTGTGTGACGAGATAGAAGATAATCAACCCTGGAAAATGTGCATCAATTTCCAAATTATTCCTGCAACTCTGTAGACATAAACCAGTTGAGGAATGACATTGGTGCAACTGGCCATGAGTGTAAGAAATATGGCCAAGATTCCTGTACTTTCTAATCTTGGATACATGAGGTAGATGAACATGAACCTACAGAATGTAGTGAGGCCTGTAGGAAGCCTTTTCCTTTAGTTTTCCAAGAAGGATTGACTTTTCTAGATAAGCTTTATGAGTGTGCTAGAAATAGAAAACTCTTTCCTTATTCTAACCCCCTTACTGTTACATCAGACATCATGGTAAAGAGGAAAAAATTACAGTGTAAAAAAAAGGTAGGGCGGGGAGTAGAATCCTTTCTAGGTCCTGGATCTCCTATACTGGAGAGAGCAAGAGAACAAGGTTCTGTGCCTACCCTGAGCCTGGCACAGCCTGGCATCACCCTCTTAGACTGGGGAGGAATAAACAGTGATTCATGGAAGGTTAACAAGGGTGAGAGCAAAGGTCATTACTTGTCTCTTCATAAAACGGTGCTGGCAAGTGACAGGAAGTGTGGCTGACACCAGGTCTGCTCCCAGGAGCCTGGTTTGGTCTGAGGTGCCAGGTGTGAACAGGATTACCCAAGGTGGAAGCCCACTCCTACCTCAACAGAGAAGACCAGGTTGTGGGGCCGCCATGGGGCTGCTGACGGAGAACACCCTGACATCCGTGGCCCTGGCTGTGGCAATCTTCCTGCTGCTGGTGGACCTGATGCACAGGCGCTCACGCTGGGCTGCCCGCTACCCGCCAGGTCCCATACCTCTGCCTGGCGTGGGCAACATGCTGCAGGTGGACATCAAGAACATGCCGTACAGCTTCAGAGAAGTGAGTCAGATGGACCTGGGGCACCAGAGACACTGGACAGTGGGTGGCTCAACAGGGAGCTGACAAAGGCAGCTGAGGAGGGTCTTGGAGGAGGGAGTTCTTGTGTAGGAAACACAGTGTCGATTTTCAAAGGACAGAGATCTTAAGGAGCTGAGAGGTCTGAAGGCCAGAAGGTGGGGTTTGACAGAAATGATAAAAGAATCAAGTTACCCTTGAACCCAGGAAAAAAGGTCTGAGGATGGGTGGGGCCTGGGCAGTGAGGGGCTGGTGGGGTGTAGGAGTGGGGGGTGCCTGACATCTCTTCCCCATACTTAAGGCTTCCCTGTCCACCACTCTGAGCCTCTTGTTCATTTCTGCTGGACTCAAAGAGCGCTGGGTCTTGCAAAAGCAGAGCTGGGACTGGAACCCAGGTTAAGTTATGGAGAGGGTGTGACCCTGAAGCCAGAAGGCCATAATTCGTTCTTGCTCTGCTGCTACCGTCATGAGGGTCGGGCAAGTTCGTGCGGTTCGAATGGGTCACAGGGATGCTGGTCAGGGCCTGATGGCCGACTGGTCCTCGGCCTGCAGCTGCGGCGCCGCTTCGGGGACGTGTTCAGCCTGCAGCTGGCCTGGACGCCCACGGTCGTGATCAGCGGGCTGGAGGCCGTGCGCGAGGCGCTGGTGGTCCGCGGCGAGGACACGGCTGACCGCCCACCTTCGCCAGTGGAGGAGTACGTGGTTTTCGGTCCGCGCTCACAAGGCAAGTCACCTCCGGGCAGGTAGGGACAGCATCTTGTGGGGGCTGGGCCGACGGTGACCTCAAGAGCCAGTAAGTGACCACAACGCCACTGCTATAGAGGATGAAGGAAGGGGAAAGACGGCGCCCAGAAGAGGAAAGGGCAGTCTGGGGAGACGGAGTTCAACGACTGACCCCACTCTGCGCATGCGTGCGAGCCAAGGGACAGGGCACGTCCTGGGAAGGGGCGGGGCACGTCCTGGGAAGGGGCGGGGCGTGTCCCTTACGTGCCAGGAGAAGGCGGAGCCTGACCTACACGGGGTTGTAGGCGGGACAGGGCTATGGGCGTGGCGTGTCTGTGGGCGGATGCCTGGACGGGAGGGGGACGGCTGTCCAGCGTAGGGATGGGCCATGGGACAGGTAAAGGGTAGGACTTGGGGCAGATAGGGTTGTGAAAGAGACTGGAACAAGAATGTCCTGTTCAGGGTTGGGGACAGGGCAAGGTGAATGTCTACTCCCAGGATGGGGGTATGGGCGAGGTTAGAGGGTCCTGTCTGAAGCAGAAATGAGGTCAGGACAGGGAGTGAGGGTCATCTGGGACAGGGCTGAGGCTGGGAAAGCAGCAGGCCTGCCCCTTGCAGGGGTGGGAGGTGATGGGGGCAGAGCCTGTCCTGGTGGAGGATAATCAGGCCGCACAGATCTAAGGTCAAGCAGAGGCTCAAGCCACAAAATGATCTAGTGGAAGGACTGCAGCCTGGCTGGACCAGCACAGAAAAGATCTGGGGCATCAATGGGAGGGGAACATTAGAAGGCCTGTCTATGCTGGGGGTGGAAACTGAGAAAGGCATGGGCAGGGTGTGGGCGGGGCTTGTCCTTGACAGCTCTGGGGAGGGGCGTGGTCTGTGCTTGTCAGTCCCGCCCGTCTCCGCCCCATCCGCAGGCGTGGTCCTAGCGCGTTATGGACCCGCGTGGCGCGAGCAGAGGCGCTTCTCCGTGTCCACCATGCGCAACTTCGGCCTGGGCAAGAAGTCACTGGAGCAGTGGGTGACCGAGGAGGCTGCCTGCCTCTGCGCTGTCTTCGCTGCACAGGAAGGTGAGACCAAGGGCTGAGGGTCGCCTGGGGCGGAGGGAAAGGGGAATGGGCCCAGGGGCGCCCTGTGACCCGCACTGTCCCTCCAGGACGTCCCTTCGATCCTAAAGCCCACTTGAACAAAGCAGTTACTAATGTGATCTCCTGCCTCACGCATGGACGCCGCTTTGAGTACGACGACCCAACCCTCCTTAAGATCTTGGAGACGGTAGAGACTGGACTGATGGATAGCTCGAACTTTATGCGTCAGGTGCAGAGTCCTGAAAGAGGCGATTTAAAAGGATTTAAAGTCCTAAAGCGGAGGGGGAGTGGGGCAGGGCAGGCTTTCTGCACCTGGGTTGCAGGAGGCATTAGGGGCGCTGGGAAAGGGCTTTCCAGACGGAGGCAGGTCCCCGAGGTACCTGGGACCTGAGGCTGGGTCAGTGGAGCCCAGGAAGGTCCCCAGCACCTCGTGTGATGATGCAGGTGCTAACCGTGGCCCCCATCTTCCTGCGCATCCCGGGCCTGACAGACAAGGTCTTTGCGGCACAGAAGACCTTAATGGACCTGCTGGACAGACTGGTCACCGAGCACCGGGAGACCCGGGACCGGACCCAGCCGCCCCGGGACCTGACAGATGCCTTCCTGGACGAGGTGCAGAAGGTGAGGATGGCTGCCCAGCATCGAGGTGGGGAGGTTCCAGATCCTTGAGAATGGGGGTGCCCAGGCCTAGGGGAGCAGAATGGTTCCCTCTGGCCCTGATTCTGAGTGTTTTACCTGGCCCAGGCCAAAGGGAATCCTGAGAGCAGCTTCACAGATGACAACCTTCGCCTGGTGGTGGCCGACCTGTTCGGGGCTGGGATGGTGACCACTACGATCACCCTGGCCTGGGCCCTCCTACTCATGCTCCTACACCCGGAGGTGCAACGTGAGAAGCCTGGGACCTGGCGTGAGGGGTGGGGGCGGAGATCAGGAAATTCAGACCGATTGGTGCCCCCATTTGAGCTATTTGGACACCAGAATTTCCAAAGAGAGGCTGGACCTGGCAGCTGCCACTGTGACCATGTGGACAACTGCCTACAGAGAGATTTTGCTGAGGACACAGGAGAATCAAGGTCTGCATGACAGACTCGAGCTGACTGGGGGCTCTCTGTGTGCAGGCCGTGTCCAGAAGGAGATTGATGAGGTGATTGGACAGGGCCGAGCCCCTGAGATGGCTGACCAGGCCCGCATGCCCTACACCACCGCCGTGGTCCATGAGGTGCAGCGCTTTGGGGACATAGTACCGCTGGGCCTGCCTCACATGACTCTCCGTGACACTGAAGTGCAAGGCTTCCTCATCCCCAAGGTAGGACCACAGACACCCTACCCTGTGCTCAATACCACTTGCCATGTCCTAACACTGGTGGGGTCTTGCTACGGGGAGTCCTGACAGGACCAAGTTGTCTATCCACCCGTTTCCCAGCCCTAACTGGTGTGTTCATGCCTGGGGAGGGGGGTGTGGGGTGCACAGGCAGGTCCAGTCCTGTCCAGAGCTCTAGTGTGCTGGAAGACAAACCAAACATGCCAAGGTCAGGATGAGCCAGGCGGTATTGATAGTGCCCATGGCAGATATGTCAGCCAGCCGTGCCTTGGGGACGAGGAAAGGCAGAGGGACTTCTGGAGCTAAGCATCACTGGAATATGTCCAACTGTGTCAAGGGGAGAGAGAGAGAGTGTGTGTGTGTGTGTGTGTGTGTGTTGTTTGTTGTGTGTCTGTGTCTGTGTGGGGTGGTGGCTGGGGTCACCACAGCCCTTACCCAGCCCCACCCACATTGGGCATCACTTGGACAGGGGACAACGATCATCACCAACCTGTCATCAGTGCTGAAGGACGAGACAGTCTGGAAGAAGCCCTTCCGCTTCCACCCAGAACACTTCCTGGACGCCCAGGGCCGCTT